TTTATTTTATTTGAATTTGAATAAAAATAATAAACAGTAGGAAAGAGAATTTCGGAGAGGAAAGAAAATCTCCTTTGTTTTTTGGTTTCTCCTTTTCTTTTCTTTCCTTCTTTAATATAAAATAAGTAGATCGTCAAAAAGAAAAAAAACAAATAACTGAATAAGAAAACCACAGAGAAAGAAAATAGGAGATTACATAATTTAACCTCCATTTCTTTCCCTCTTCTTCCTTCTCTTTCACTTAAACTGGACATGCTTTTTAACTCTAATTATAGCAAAATATTTTCTATGGGCAGGAATAATTTATAGAAAAACTGGAACATACTTTCTTCCCATGCACTTCGAATAAAATTATACATATTTTTCCATTGCCTATTTTCAAAATATATATATATATATATACACATATTTTAGTCAAAATTATTCAAAAAGAGTTGTTGAAATTCTTTTTTTTTTTTTAACTTGTGTTTTATTTTGAGGTATAAATTAAAAATATAGTTAATATATTTTTTAATTATTAAATTATATAAAAAATAAATTTTAATTTTAATTTTAATAATTAATTAATTAAATTAATAAACCCGATATTAACTTTAAGTATTACTAATGTTGTTTTGTATGTTAAATCTAAATTCAAGTTTTAGGGCAGAAAAAAATTAATTTTTTGAAATATATTAAGTTGATATAAGGTGTGCAGATTGTATGAGAAGAATTAATCTTGAAATAAAAAAAAAAAAAAAAAGAAAATTCATAACAAAAATAAAGATAAATTTTTTTAAAAAAAATTTATACCACTTAAACATTATTAATTATTAAAAGAAGTATTAATTACCACTTTAAAGACACGAAAAACCCAATCTTTTTTCTCCATAATTTATAGGAGTAATTTTTATAAAACAATAAAAAGATAATTTCTCGGTGGGTCCTACCTACACTTCTTTCTGTTATATAAATATTGCGTGAACACTACTCTTAAGAGCATCCCTCCTCGCGCCGGTATCTCCCTGCTGCTAAGCTGAGGTTGTTCGGAAAAAATAAATAAATAAATAAATAAAACGAAGAAGAAGTAATGGAGAGATCGCATAATGCCATCAACGTTGATGATCACAGTACAGATCTTCTAGCGCCGAACGAGGAGTCCGCAGCTTCGTCTTGGCGTCTCAACACGCACAAGTTTCGATTTCCCGAACAGACGATCTCCGATGGCCGTCAACACCCCATTACTCGCCTCTCTGGCCTTCTTTTCACTCCGAGTACATCTCTTTACTCACCAGTACCACGTTTCCTTCATATCTATTATTATTATTATTGTCTTTTTATTTCTGTTTCTTTTCGTGGGAAGAGCTTTCTATTTTTATGGTCTATCTTTCTCATGTTCAGATCTGCAGTTTTATTCTCTCTTTCTTGCTTTGTTTTTCGTTCTTTTTTCGGTTTCTACGATAAAGAACGCCTGCTTTGGCTATGACGATAAGATTCCATTAGAGTGGAATCCTAATCGATTGTTTGAGAAAGGTTCAGATTTTTTGTAGGAAAAGTTAGATTTATTTTATTTTTGTTTCACATCTTTTGGAATCATATAACTGAAACAAATTATTAAATTAATCGAATTGGTAAAGTGAGTAAACCATGTTAAGAAAAATATTACGTACAAGTTGGGGAAGGTAAAGGTACATACGGCTCGCGTGAAGACCGTCTTAAAGGAAAGTCCGGATAATTAATTAATTTTTTTTTTTAGTGTAAATTTCAGAAACATCAGTTTAGAAGACTTGACTACTCTGCTTTACCTTAGTATCAGATGATGTTTTCATTTAATCAGAGAGGGGAAAAAAGTCATTTATATATAGCATGTTAAATTTTCGTGTGGAATTAATGTCGCAAAAAATTAAAAAGTCAAACTAGCTCGAGTAAAGTTGAATGGAGGGAGCATATTGTTTGTAATTCATCAGCAAGGATGTTGTCTTTCATCTACTAAATCACATGTACAGCTTTATAAAGAATAATAAGGCAATCTGTTTTTTAGTTTGCAGCTCTGTCAAAAGGCAATTCAGTTATTTTTATATTTATCTTGGATGTTAGTCTGGGAGTACATCGTCGACATTTGTATAACTCCCTGCGAAGATCTTTATTTTATTGATATTATTTGGTCACCTGCTAGGTGCATCTCTGTGTCCTTACAAGGTATGTCTTTTGTTTCTCACCGTGCAACTTATGTCCATATTTGGTAAGCTGGGACATTTAAGTTATGGACTCTGTCTAGTAAAAAAGCCTCTAGTACATTTTAATTTCATTGTTTCATTTATTATTGTTATTATTATTATTGTTATTATTATTATTTTTCGTTCTTGATTCAGGGAAACAACGCAGGGTTTCAGAATACTACAAAAAGCAAGAAAGGCTTCTTGAAGGGTTCAATGAAATGGAGACAATTACTGAAACGGGTTCTTTTCCTGGAAGTCTGTCTGAGGTTGTTTTTACTTATTGTTATTTAATCATTTTTGTTTTACCTTTATTAAATTTGAGTATGAGAACGGAGTCTTCATGCATCAATGAATAGTCTATGGAAGCAGATCAATTTGCTTTTCTATCTTTCCTTTCAACTAAAATTTTGAAGCTTTCTTCTGTTTTCAGCCCCAACAACATCTCAAAATTAACCAATTGATTCCAAAAATTATATTCAATCTAAATTCTTGTAGATGCACTGTTCTCATTGAATGAAAGGAATTGTTTATACTTGTTCATCTTATTCCCTTTAGGATTCTTCATATAACGATGCTTTTCTCCTATACATGACATCTTGTCTATGGAAAATGAAATTTAATCTACAATTACTTTTCCTTCCTCCTTAGGATGAGATGAAGAAGCTTGCAAGGAGTGAGAAATTTGCCGTTCATGCATCAAACATAGCTAACATTGTGCTCTTTGTGGCAAAGATCTATGCTTCAGTTGAGAGTAAATCAATGGCTGTTATTGCTTCAACCCTGGATTCACTCTTGGATCTGCTGTCAGGGTTTATTTTGTGGTTCACTGCATATGCCATGAAGAAACCAAATCATTATCGGTATCCAATTGGGAAGAATCGCATGCAACCAGTGGTAAGTTATTTGCTGCTTTAACATCATACTCACATCCTTAGTGGACATCCCTCTCTCTGTTTCTTATTTTGTTGCCTTTGTAGGGTCTTTGAAATGTCAGTTTGTAACAATTTAGAATCTCCAAGTTACCAACAATCTCCATTTATATTGCTGCTTTTTGAAGCATGTTCATCAGCACTTTGTAGACAGAATGAATGGTGATCCTTAAGTAGCATTGTAGCAATACAAGTCCATTGAGATGTGCTTCGAAGGAGATCTTGGACTGGTCATAAATTGACCTTTTAAAAGAAATACTGGTCATTAATCAAGACCCAGCTTTGGCTGAACAGTTATTATCTCTCCTTCCCCAATCCCCTGACCCTGAAGGGAATCACTTTCCAGCAGATAGGCGAGATCTGACCAATTGATGGCCTTTTGTAGGTCAGTCAACTATGATTTAGGTGCAAACATCATTGGATGTTAAAGATGGGGGCTTATCATGTAACATTGGAGGGCTTGTGAACTTTCAAGTTGTTAGGCCAATAGTGCGTTTCAACCTAGGTCGTTTCAATCAGAGCGGTACTAGCATTTTGTCTACAAAGTGCATTGACAAGAAAGTGCATTGTTACAATACACATTTAAGTGGGGAGGGTCGTTTCATATCAAATCACTAACTAAACCACTAACTGAATTGGGACAATGTAATAAATATTCATGATATTCGGCCCCAAAGTTTTGAGTCCATATGTCATCCGACAGAGCTAGGACCATCCTTTTTAATTGGTTTCCATTATACTTGATGAAAAATCACCTTTTTTGTATTAAAAGAAATTTGATTCTCACTTTACAGTAAAAATGTACCCTTCATTTACTTTTTACGTCAAAACTTGAATATGTTCTACTACTAACCAAGCTTGAAAATATAGGGTATCATTGTTTTTGCATCTGTGATGGCAACTCTTGGATTGCAAATCATTCTTGAGTCTGTCAGGCAATTCTTTACAAAGGTATGCTGCCCTGATCTTCCTTGGCCCAAAATGTCAAGGGTTGTGTAGGCGGATAGGTTCTTGTGAGATTTTTAGCTTAGAGTCATGGGACACAGTTAAGTATTTATAACTTATTTATTGGCAGAAGCCAGGTTGTTTTTCAATCCGTACCATTGACTATTGTCTTATAGATTAGTTTCCACAATTATTTTAAATATAGAAACAATTCTAATTCA